GTGGAACACTGGAAAGAGTTTTCAGATTGACCATCAAACAAAAGACAAACCAAGCTCTACATAGCTACTAAATATCATTACAACTTGTCACTTTTCAGTATGATTTCTGGTTAATTCAGCTTTATTAGCAGCAAAATTTGCAGCAAGTGTGCAAAACCAGATTGTATTATCCCATCTGCATCACTTTTTCCGCTCATTTAGTCAGAGTCTGGGGGGTTTCCCATGCTGAATCAGGTATCTTCACTTCATTCAGTAAGTCATAAAATACAAGAGTTTGAGTTGGAAGGGAACCCTTGAAGGTCATCCAGCGCAAAGATGTCCCCTGCAAAGACCAGGGACATCCACAGTTAGATCATGTTGCTCAGAGTTCCCTCCAGCCCGACCTTGGTTGTCTCCAGGGATGGGGTGCCCACCACCTCTCTGGGCAACCTGTGTGCCTCATCACTCATAGCGTAAGAAACTTCTTCCTTATGTCTGATCTAAGTCTCCCCTCTTGTAGTTTGAAGCCATTTTCCCTTGTCCTATCACAGCAGACCCTTCTAAATAGTCTCTCCCTCCTTTTATTCCTTTCTTTCTTATATATATATTTCTTAATGTTTTCAGAACTTTCACTATTAGGCAGTTATCCTATTGTATAGATAGCACAGAAAAATATGGACTGTGGGTATAGGCCAGGTGTTGTTCACTGGGTTTTCTAAAATGTCTTGAATGATTGGAGGCAAGGATGAATAAAGGATAAGAAGCGCAGACTTGAATTACTAGAAATCTGTTGAAGCCAAATATGCTAGGAGAAAATCTGTGCTCTTCGGTGTAAATTTAAAGCAGTGCTTAAAACAATAACTCTGAGGAATAGGCAGTATGTGGTGGTATTGCCAGCTGCGTGTTCCTGTGTGCAGGGAAAGGGGGAGGATTCAGAAAAGTGACTTAGATTATAACAACGAGATAAATGAAGAGTTTGGTGGTGGTTGTCATGTAACTGTGGTGATGAAACCACAGGCACCACATGGGGCAATGGATGGATGGTGTTTCTCAGCCCCTTGGGAAAAAGCAGCTTATGGAGAGTGAAGGATTAATTTTTCAACATTGTTTTTACAGAGGAAAAAGTCAACTAATTGAAATTCATTCACTTCACGTGGTGTGTGGCATGTGTAGGTGCAGCATCTGAAATCCAACATGAGAGACATGATTTTGGCAACAACAAAGCAGCAGATGCTTGTGACAACTGAGTGGTGCAACAGATTTCTCTTTTGCTACCTAGGTCAGCTGTTTTTCACTGAAATTAAGGTTTAAATGCAATGTTAAGATATCATCTTAGTACCAGCAGGAGATATATAGATATAGATATATGTACACACACATGGTTGAGGTATGACCTTGGCTTCTTTTACATTGATATTTTCAACTCAGCAAAGCAAATGAGTGCATTTAGGAAGAAATAAAGGAAGGAGGAAGGAAAACCAATTTTGGAGAAGTATCATCTCCTCCAATGCTTCGGAACCACTTTTTGCAGTATATAAAGGCTAACAGAACTGTCACAGGCTTCCATGAAGTGCCCGTCATGAGAACATCCAAGTGGAAGAATTGAAAAGCTTATTTAAATGTAAATCTGCACATCTGTACAACTGCACTGGTTTTTGCTGTGTGAAGTGGCCGCTTAGACTTGAGATTGTGAACCATGTTTATTTTTGTGATGGTTTCCTTTTGGTTTTCTTCTCTACTGCTTTGTTTATCATTTAGTGATGGAGCAGTGATTTGTGGGAAGAGCTGAAGCTGGAAACGTTTCTGCAGTAGCTGCACGTCTGTGTGCATTTGGGAACAAGAAAGATGATGTGTGAAACAGGTATTTCTCTCTAGGTTAGAAGGCTGGAAAGAGGGGGTTGGGAGGAAATCTCAGGCTTTATGTGTTAGGATTTAGGTGACAGGGAGTTTACTCGGAGACTGGTTTTGTTTTTTAGTTCTTTTTTTTGTTTGTTATTAAGGTTTGAATTGCAACAATGTCACAAGGCTTCATGTTTTCTCATGCAAAACAAGCAACACATGATTTTTCAGTACCTTCTAGTTCCTGAAACAGGTATGTACTGGGGCAATGCTGCAGATGTAACAGGCTTCTTAGAAAATGGCAATCGCAGAAAGTTTGTGTATAATGCAAACTAAAATGTAATGTAAACGACATGACAAGCAAACAAGTAAGCAGTAGGCAACACAAAAATGGAACCAGTGTCAAGTGTATGCATGCATTGTAGTTAACTTCTGAAAAATATTGCTTAGAAAACAAGATGAAACATTGTCTCAATGTGGTGTTCTAGTACATCTAGTACTAGATACTAGTACTGCCAGAAGGAAAAGAGAACGGGAATTATTTGCCTTAGCAGAGAAGGCAGCTGGTGTACATCATAAAGCCCTGCAAGGTATACTGCGGTGGAGCTGGAAGATGTTTTGATTAGTATATTTAGACCTTGGTTAATAAGTGTTCAGATATGGTATCTGTCAGGTTGGGCCGTTTTGACACCAAGGATATTTGAAGGCTATTTTTTAGGTCGTCTTGACATTAATGGTACAGTAAGTGGGAAGCTAGGCATGAAACTGAACTTCTTTCAGGCAGAGAAATACCTCACATATGGTCAGCACATAAAGGAGCATCTATTGATCTGAGTTATGAAATCTGTGCTTGAGGAATAGCCCTGTGTAAATGTCCTAAAACAACACCTTCACTATTTGTTTGGTGTTTGGAAGTAACCCAGAAGCAGATGAAGTGCTGCTGAAGTTCTACTTTGGAAAGTGCCTCTTCTAAGGGATTGTAATGGTGCAAATATGAAAGAATTTTGTCTCTTAAATCCTGCTGAAATGAACCTTTGGATTTTTCTTGTAATTCTAATACATCTCATCACACTTGAGCCTAATGGTATTAATTGAATCTTGCCTTATGTAACTCAGCTGCTTGTTCAGTTGCAAGAAAAATATCAAACAGAAATCACAGTCAATCAATGAGAAAAGTTGTTAGCAACAGAGGTGTTGCTCATTTACTGCTCAGGGAGCTGTTTGGGCTAGTGAGGTGTGTGATAGCGAGGTTATCATTCAAGAACCTCCCCAGTTTAGGAAAATCCGAATACATACAATATCAATATTTATATATTATTATTAAATCATCAACAGATGCAGTGGAGGGCTCTGCAGTGTAATTTTCACGTGAAGCACCTTCAGTAATATACCACTTAAAATGAGTATAAACAATTTATAGTATAGTATTTCTGAAGTTTGTTACAGGCTTGAGCATTACATTTTGTTTACTACAACAGTTTGTACAGCTGTAAGATATCGTACTTTGTATCATCTGCACATCAATAAAGACCACTATAAGTTAGGTACTAACAAACTTTCTACAATTCTATGAAATTTTTCCAGAATCACTTAAGAGCAATTCTAAACTGTCCATTTAGTAAGCTTTGGAAGTAAAGGCCAAGCTGTTTTCTTCCTTAAGTCAATACCCATTAATTTCTAGGCACAATCTGACTTCTTAGTGAATCTTATTTAAAACATAACCAAAAGAAGTGATACAAAAAACCGTTTCCATTCTTAGCACAAATGTGACCAGCTACCAGGCATTGGTGCTGATTATTCTTAAGAGAACATTGCTCAAATAAGGCTTTCACCACCTAGTTTCTGCAACCCATTCTGTCATATATGTTTTCATCAGTTGAGTACAGAAGTCTTGCTAGGGCAGACAGCTCTCAAATAACAGCAAACCTTGTGGGTAGGTAGACTTTTCCTTTCCATTGATTAGCAACTTTTATCATTAATAATGAGTCTGTGCACATACTTTAAAAATAAAAACGAAATAGATGTTAAAGTCTCCAGTGAACAATAATTTCTTGCACCAGAGACAGGAGTGTGGCAGGCAGTAAGGGGCTGTTCATCAGGACTGTTTTATTGGTGTGCCAGGACATTCCATGATGGCTTTGTTGTGCAACACTGTGGAGTGATATGAGATGCCTTGCAGCTTTAGAATGTAGTCTTGTTCTTTTGGAGGAGATAAAAGATGCTGCCACTCTTACAATATGACTTTCTGATTTGTGCAAGGAGGAAGAAATGTAGCAAGAAAAATCCTCAAATAAACTGATACCGATCCTTTAGCTTCTGAATCCACGTGCAGTTCATATATGATCACTGAGAAAATAACCAAAGAGAATCAAACCAACAAATACAATGATCTATCTCTTTTAAGGAAATTACTGGGTTTGTTCAGGATTGCTCCCCAGGTGAGGCACTGAGTGTACTGAATGACAGCTGTTAAATTCTGGTTGAGTGGGTGATGTTAAAAGGTGAGTAATCGCTAGGAACAGCCTAGATCCACATCATTAAATGCTGATTCCAGAGTTCGATACCTGGAACTGCTCAGGATCCTTCATAACAGCAGATGGATTTTCTAGGGGTTGAACAATCTTCCGACTCAACAGAAGATGATGTTTTAATTAATCAATTTTTAAAGTGTAAACACAGATTATTTTGTATAAAACCAGACACATGGCTTTGAAATAAACCTGGAACTAAAACCAAACAAAACTTTCAGACCTGTATGTACCTATATCATATGAAACCATGAGAGAGGAAAAAAAAAAAAAAAAACAAAAAACAAAAAACAAAAAAAAACCCACTGTTTTTAGTAGCTACATCTAAGAGAGTAAGTTTTCTATGTAAATTTTGTTATTACACAATTCTCAGTATCACAAGTTAGTTTGACTGAAGAGCTGGGGCAACCAGATATGTGGGAAATATCTACCTGCTATAAAAGAGGGTAAGAGGTGAAGGTGGCAGTGGGAAGAGGTCAATGTGTGATTGCTGTGTGCTTTTGGAATGGGGTTTATACATGTGTCACTCCCCTGGGGTAAAAACAATGTTTCCCATCCCTCTGGTTTGGGATTTTTTGAGAGTATGGGCATGCTTCATGTGTAGGCAGTGAGCTGTCTCTGTGCGATGGCTGTGTGTGTGAAACATGCCGTTACTTATCCCTCTGGAATGGGGTGACGGTGTCTCTCATGCCTGTCAAGCCCTGTAAAGGCATTAATAGTCTCCAGGGGCAGCTCTGACCCATAGTCCAGTTGCAAAGTGGCTGTCACACGACAACACTTGGGGCTGCTGCCTGGGATAGCCTGTGTTGGCGCACTCATGAGCCTCTTCTCCATGGGGAGCTCCTCTCTGTCTTCCTGCTGAGGACTCACTGCATGGGGCTCGGGCTGCACCCAGGCTGTGACAGTGGTGGGTGGCATGGTGGCAGTGGCTCCCTCCTTTTGGCAGGTGGTGTCCTGGTGGTAGGAGACCAGCTCGTTACTGAGGTGGACTCTCTCTACTGCAGCCCTGGTGGTGCTGCAGCAGAGGGACTGGCAGCCCAGCAGGTTGCTGAAAGCCCGACGGAAGTCTGCATTGAAAGCATAGATGACTGGGTTCACTGAGGAGTTGGCCCAGCCAAACCATACAAAGACGTTGAGGGTGGTTTGGCTGACACATGGTGGCTGCCCTTTGCTGTCGCTCTCAGGCTGGCAGAAAGGTAGCATGCAGTTGAGCAGGAAGAAGGGCAGCCAGCAGCAAACAAAGACTCCCATTATGATGGAGAGGGTCTGCAGCACCTTGGTCTCCTTGCGCAGGGAGCTCCGCAGATTGGAGGCAGGCTCCTTGCTGTGGGCTGGGCACTGCCCGCCTGCTCGTTCCAGGGTGGAGATGCGGCGGATCTGGGCCTGAGCAATGCGATAGATCCTGGTGTAGGTGACGATCATGATGGCCACAGGGATGTAGAAGCTGATGAGGGAGGAGGTGATGGCGTAGGTGCCGTTCAAGCTGACATCGCAGAGGGAGCTGGGGTGCCTTCTGTCCTTGGTTTTGTGCCAGTGCAGCTGCACGGGGACGAAGGAGATGAGGATGGAGAGGGCCCAGGCCAGGGCGATCATGGCGCAGGCCAGACGCTGCGTCATCCGGCGCTCGTAGCGAAAGGGGCTGGCGATGGCCCAGTACCGGTCCAGGCTGATGATGCAGAGGTGGAGGATGGAGGCGGTGGAGCACATAATGTCAAAGGCCACCCAGGTGTCACAAAAGTGGCTGCCGAAGAGCCAGAAGCCACCGGCCACCTCAGTGACTGCCTTCCAAGGCATCACCAGGATGGCCACGCAGAGGTCAGAGACGGCCAACGAGAGCACAAACCAGTTGGTGACTTTTGTGCGCAGGTGGCGGAAGCGCAGGACAGCCAGGCACACCAGAGCATTGCCCGCCAGCGTGCCCAGCACCAGGACGCCCAGCAGGCAGCCCGTCAGTGCCTGCAGTGCTGTCGGGCCGCCCGCCGTGCTCGCCATGAGGGCCGCGCCTCGGGCTACTCACCGCACCCTGCCGTGCCCGGTGCTGCTCTCTGCCGGCGACTGCGGGGCGGAGGCACCGGCTCGCTGCTTAGCATCGTCCCAGAGTGCGGCGGCCGAGGAGGTCGGACGGATGGGCCCCCGAAGGTTGCTCTGTGCTGCTGGGCAGAGCCGCGGCCGCCTACCAGCAGAGGGGCAGTGCTCGTCAGAGCCTTCACAGCGCACGGCGTGTTCCTGCGTGAGTGCCGAGTAGACTGCAATGAGATGCCTGGTTTCCTAAAGAGCAGGGTAATGCTTGGCATCTGCCTACACTGAGCGCTACTAAATCTGGGAGGATGCTGTGGAAGCTGCCTTCTCACTACAGTGTAGCAACTCTGTTTTGCTGTTTACTCTTGAGTCGAGAAACCCAGAGCGTGGAAGCCTCAGACCTCTCCAGCATGGGTTTTTTATTTTGGCAGAAGGCTGTCCGTGCATTTCCACAGAAATTAGCACCCAAAAACTGCCTGTGGAGATTTCAGCCTAAAGTGTCTTGTGATGCATTTCAGTATTTCCATTTGCTTTTATAATGGCATACGTGTTGTTATATAAATGTGTCTTGCATGCATTTACAGCCTGCTTTAGAGAAGGTGTCCTAATGCAGGGAGGGAATAATCTTTTCTTATTGAAGAATGCGTATGATAATCCCATCACAAGAAAAGGATATGCATGTTGGAACGTGAATAGCAAAGATCAACTAATGTCATTACTTAGCTTGTCAAACAGGCACCTCTTTCTAGAGGAGATTTTTGTTTTATTTTCTTATTTGCTTCCAACTAAAACTGCTTCATCCACCAGTGTCAGTGTAAATAATTGCCAAGCCAGGAACTGTCTGATTTCCTCTGTATGGTGAAGATATTCCTGGTAGTTAAAATAGAGACTGGAACATTTAACATGAATTTTGAATAGTAAGGCTGGCAGCTTACCCTGTAAAAATTAGCATGTTTGGGATAAGTAGGCTGCATTGTGTCAGCTCATAACAGATTGTTAACATTTGGTCGTGGCTTTTAAGATTCAAATTGCTTTGTGCCTTGGAGACCATATTCTTCATAGTGCAGCACTGTGTGCTGTTCTTGCTGCTTCTTTCAGTTCTCTGGGAACTGAAATACATTCCTCATTTGTCTGTAAGACAAACTCTTTATTTAACAATTTAGAATTTTCTCTGATAAAGTACATGCTTTATTAAAGTAATAGTTGCTGTCAAAATATCATAGGCTGTAAGATGCAAGCAGGCAGCACACTTTGGCTTATTTGGAGCCATCTGTATTTCCACATAAATGGATTTTGTCAGCATCTGCTAGCTGTAGGAAGTCTCTGGCTTTTATTCCAGTGCTAAAAACTAAATCTTTATTTGTAAGAACTATACACATTTGCTAATTTTATTCGATACATTTGCTCTTCTTTAACAATCTATGAAACGATCCTGAAGAATGGAATCTGTTAAGAATAATACACAAGACAGTAGATGAAATTAAGGCACAAATGTACCAAAAATGAAAGCAATGTTTTTGTATGTTCAGCAGTGCTGCTACATGGCTCTATAGCAGAAGGTAGGCAGCATTATGGAAAAACCTGTTTTCAGTGTCTCCGTATATCTCCAGTTTAGCATTCATTAAAAAGGAAAGTGAATGTGCTCATACTGTTTTGTGTGCATACGTTTTTATGAAAGTGCCCTACCTTGAGTTTTTGAGACTGCTGGCTGAAGTCAAATCTAGCTGAGAAGCAGAGTTCTAAAAAATTAAGTTCCTAGAGATGTAATTGAAGTAGGAATTGAGGTAGAAGTGAGAGCCCCTACTGGTAGTCTCACTGGTAGAAGTCTGTGTTGTGGATACAACTCTTATTAGGCACAACTGAGACCACAAGAAGTGAGATGTTATTAATGCCCTGATTCTAGAGAAAATATTGACAATCACATTCATCTTCCTAGATACCAGGATGCAAGATGCAAATGCTTAAGAAACCATACAGTGAGTCAGAGGCAATGACAGGAATAGAAACACTGCCCCACTCGTCTTTCTATATTGGTCACGGCAGAATGAAGAGTAAGCTTATCGCAGAGGGAGGAAAGAGAGATGGGGAAAAACACAGCACACTGTGAAAGCCAGTGTGTTGATAATGTTGCAGACTGTTTTTAAGACATGTGGATGTTCCGTGCATTAAACTTATCCAGAATAAAATAGGAAGGGTCTGAGAACGATACTGTAGAAGATGCCGCTAGGCTGGGTGAAATAGTCTCTTGTGACTCCAGAATATTTGCAAGCTCATTCTTACTTGAAAAAGGAAACTTGCTTGGAGAATATGTGTAAAACATATTGCAATGTATATAAATGCATGTAATCTCTTCACACTGTACATTTTTTAAATGCCATCATTGTACTGGAAAACTGTCTGCTCAGTGGAACTTTTGTCAGAAACCCAAACCAGTTTCCTTCTCCCTCTCCTTCCCTTCTGCTTCTCTCACTTCTCTCTCATAAAGCTATCTCATCCAAGACTCAGTGCTCATATATTTATAGCACATATTATAGTTAAGCAGAGATCTGATTCAGAACTTAAAATTAAGCCTTTGATAGTGTACTATTACCACATTCAGAGCTCAAGCCTCTGTAGGTCCCTACTGCACTGGCTGATAAGGTAACTACAGGTCAAACTACATCTGCCATCAGGCAGCCCATGACCCTCCAGGCCAAGGATGTGCCTCCTGGGTGAGCATGCAGCCCTTGCATGCCGTGCCACTGTGCTCCTGCCTACTAGCATTGCTCCACAGTGAGGCCCAGCTGGAGGGCACATTTTGCTGCAAGGTCCGAAAGGCAATGACTGCACGCTGCAGGCCACACTCACCCAACGCCAGTCGTTACTGCTTTGTCAAATGGATTTAATGTCATCAGAGTTGATCAGCTAGTTCTTTTACTTCTGATACTTTGTCACAGTGAGTATAACCAAATGTATGAAGTAATATTGTTTAGTGGAATGTGATTACACTGTGTAAAGACCCATTGAGGATGTTGGTAAAATGAATCTCTGAAGAAGTGGTCCACCTTACAGTCTGAATGGCAGCATTTGAATTGCACTAAACTGGGTTTTGTGATTACCTTTGCCACTACTGCTTTTGAGTGACTTCAAATGCCTTGGAAAAAAATATCATGTAGAATTGAAGGCAAAAACAAAACATCTGAAACAGGGATGATTCTCTCTCTCTCTACCTATTTATTTTGCACTGTATAGCTAAAGAATGTATCCAGCTTTGTGCAAGTGTATGCTTAAATACATGTGTACGTGTATTATCATCTTGACTCTAGGTAATTTATTCCTGTTTCAGTGCGATGTGAATTTCATTAACCTGATCATATACTGAGACTGGTAATCTATTTGTACAGTGAAGCCAACATTTACTGTTGAAATTAAATAGCATTTTTATTACAGAGATATGGCTTACCTGCATAATAGAATTGAAATTCACTGAATAATTCATTGTTTCAGAAGCTGTCTAGACAAGTTAAAGAAAGAATAATTAAGTCAGCAGCAAGGTATCAAAAGCATGCTGAGTCTGTTCATGCTCAATAGAAACAGTTTGAATTTGTGATGTCCGAAACGGAGTCCATGATTGCTCTTCACATTTTAAGTTAATATGGCTCTTAAACTGATTAAAGTGTTTAATAATCAGCTCTTGAATTCAGACAAACAAGCAGGAGAATAATGATTACAGACAAGTTGTTCTTCCACAACATTTGCTGGAGTCACAGTGCAGTGAGTACCGAGCAGTGAAGACACCACCTCTTGCATGTTTGGACCACTGAGCAGTTAAGAAGGTATCCTTGAGAGATAAGGGAAAGTTTCTTAATATTTTTATTAATCTTTTTTGGAGGAATAATATTTAAAGAAGTTTCAGTGTTAAAGAAAAAGCACCATCGCTTCTTCTTTATTGCTATTTTCACAAAAGCAAGACAGCATTTTTTACCAGCTCAACAAAAACTGGTGTTTCTTTGCAGAAGCTTTGCTGATCAGGTTCTTTCATACCAGGCTAAGGTGTTTTAGTCTACTGTAGTTGACAAATTCTCTAGATGCAGAGTCTCTGTCTTCTCTGCATATGTAATCTAAACAGAAAAGTTCTGTCTTCTAATGAGTGGATCACTGAGGTTTTGTTTACAGTGAGCTGTGGGTGTACATTGCAGCACGTCCCACCATCTCCACCCAGATCAGGAGATTTACAGGAGCACAGTCTGGCTCCCTTTCTGCTCTTGCCCTGAGTTTACTTCTCACAGATGCCCAGGTGCCCAGGAGATCAACCAGGTCAGCACACACAGGGATTTCTAATGGATGGGTCAGAACATTTCTACATAAACACAAGAATATATGGAGTTAAATGCTCAGATGTTTTTGGAGTTTGCTCAGTGCAGAGATCACAGATGCTGTTTGGGGCATGGCGTGGGCTTCTAGCTGATACTGAGGCATTTGGTTGAGACTCTAGTGAGCTGTCCTTTTCAATCTAGATGTTCTGTGTAAATCCCTCTCATTGGAAATGCCTGGAGCTATCACTGTAGAGTAATAATTTAAATGTAGGTGCAGTATTTTTAGCTTCCAGGTCTGACACAAAACTTACATGTTTTTGCAAAGTGTACATCCTTCTATCCAGAGGTTCACTTCTGTTTGAATGTCTCTGTTGTTTCCTTAGCACTGCTGTAATGGCTCTGCTTCCTTCACTGTTCCCTTATTTGAACAATTCTGTTAATGCTGTCATTTTATGAAATTCTACCTTTTTACATACAATTAATGTGGTTAGCACATGACTACGGTAAATAATAGATTCTGTTAATAACGAGAGTACAAAAGATGTTTAAGTGATTAAAATAATCAGTAGTTTTAAAAACCTTAAGACTATGAAAATCAAGTTGTGAGGAGGCTGAAGCAGTGTGGGAGATCCAATCAACTGTCACTTCAATTGCAGCTTCAATACGAACAAACATGAA